TTATTCTCTTGCTTCTGACTACCTTCAATCTGAAACTTGTTTCTAGCTACTTTTGGTGTGTACATCCTCTCCATTTGTGTCCGCATGCCAGATGTGTAGGTATGCCCATATCTGTTTATGATGCCCTAGTTATTGGTGCCTTGTGCATCCATGAACGTGACAGCCTATGAAGTGCACCTTTTAGTAGATGAACACTTCATGAGAAGGCACTCAGCCATATTCCCAATCCTCTCACCTTCCCATCCAGCAAAGGCAAGAGCCAGAGCAGTAGTACCCAGCTGCGGATCCCCAAACACATCATTCCTTGGCATCTAAGACAGACTGTGAACCACTTCTGCAAACCACTTGGAAAGCCTCAACCTTCCCTTTCACTCTGGCTTCTTGGAGCCTTCTAGGTCCTGTCTAACATCCCTGTGATGAGTCTGGAACTCCAATTAGCATTGGCTGTGCTCAGGCACCTCACCAGAATGGAGTGCAACTCCTTCTTCAAAGTAAAAGCTGTTCATTACTGCTCCCCTGGCCTTTATTTTCAGGGCTCTAGATATGAAGACAATGTACCATCCTTAAGAAACAAGATTTTATTCTAAGTTTTACACAGGAACCTAGCAGTCATAAGCACTTCTTAAGTATTAACACTAATTTTTTTCCAAAAGAAACTCTCAAATCCACGCAAGGCTGTTCCTCCTCCAGAGGGTGAGGTGTGAGCAAGCTTCTCAGAACCCTGGTCCCTGTTCTCCCATACTTGCTCTAAGCATGTTCAGTCCTGTTCCGACTGGTCTTGACTTACTATCCCTATAAGGGTAAAGAGAGGAAGGGTGGAACCCTGGGAAGAGAAGGAAGCAGCCCAGTAGAGCCTGGGGTCTGTATTTTCAAGTGAAGCCATTTATACCCTGGAACTAGCAGTTGGCAGAAAGTGTTCTGTTCTGGGCTTTTTGTGGTACTGGGGCTTGAATTCAGGCCTCGTACTTTTACTTGGTTTTCGTCACTCAAGGATGGCTCTGTCATTTAAACCACACCTCCACTTCTGGATTTTTCCTGGTAAGTCTCAGAATTTCCTGTCTGGATTGGCTTCAAACAATGATCCTCAGACTTCAACCTCCTGAGTAGTAGGATTACAGATGTAAGCCACTGGTGCCCAGTCTCTATTCTGTTTTGCTGTCTGCTTCATTGATAAAATAGGCATGTCCTGTGTGTTCCTAGTTCTTTTGAGTTTCTATCTTCAGATGTAAAAGAAAAAGTTGAGCACCGTGACTCATACCTGTAACTCTACTCAGGAGGCAGAGATCAAAAAGATTACCGTTTGAAGCCAGCCTGGACATAAAAGTTCACTAGGTACCATCTCCAAAACAGCCAACTACGAACCAGGTTAGAGCTATAGCTAAGTGATAGAGCACCAGCCTAGCAAGTTGCAAGTCCTCATTCAAACCCCAGTACCACCAAAAAGAGAAAAAAAAGTGTAAGAAAATAAATTATCCTTGGATAAAGGTACCTGAGTACATGGCAACAAAATCAGCCTACCCATTGAATAAAACACTAATTACTAAAAATACTTATTTTAATTTTTACTGTAAGTATATATTACTTTTGAAAAAGTCAGAGATAGGCAGGCATTGGTGGCTCACGACTATAATCCTAGCTACTCAGGAGGCTGAGATCTTAGGATCACGGCTCAAACCCAGCCCAGGCAGGAAAGTCCATGAGACTCTTATCTCCAATAAACCACCAGAAAACCAGAAGTGGCACTGTGGCTCAAGTGGTAGAATACTTGCCTTGAGCTGAAGAGCCCAGGGGCAGTATTCAAGCCCAGAGTTCAAACCCCACAACCGACAAAAAAAAAAACGGTCATAGATGTATCACAATGGAAAAGAGCTGGTCTAATTAAAAACTAGGTTATAGGGGCTGGGAATGTGGCTCAGTGGTAGAGCACTTGCCTTGCATGCATGAGGCTCTGGGTTCGATTCCTCAAGCACCACATAAGCAAAAAAGAAAAAATCCGGAAGTGGCGCTGTGGCTCAAGTGGTAGAGTGCTAGCGAGTTCAGGCCCCGTGACCAGACCAAAAAAAAAAACAAAAAACTAGGTTATAAAATATACTGTAATTACAACTAGATAAACAAAAATATAAACAAAACCTGATTGCCCAGCTTTATAACTGGAAGAAATTGCACATAGTAGTTGTTCAGCTCATCATTCTAGTTCCTAGAATTCAATAAATATTTGTTCTAGTGTAAGTATTGGAATTAAAAATGAACTTAAAAAACTTTAAGTACCATACACAAAAACAAGACTGATTTCATAATCCACAACAATGCCATGGAGGAAGTTAATTTAATGTTCATAGAAAGGCATCCACTACCAGACTGACAAGAAACCATACTCACAAACAGAAAACCCACACATCTGGACCAATAGAATCATTAATACTTCAAAAACAACGTATTGTTGATATGGAATGATAGGGCTATTTTATAACACTTCAACGTTTTCGACAATGCTGAAATCTATAAATAGCTGGGGAGTTTACTGTTTCTTTCTTCACCTTCACCTTCTGAGTTTTATCCTGTAAGAATAAAAAGATGATCAGTAAACAGAAAGAGAAGGCTTGTGAAACAGGAAAACTGAAAAGCTTCCTCAGAAAAAGCCTCTAAGACATCCCTCAAAGTAGTGAAGGCATGGAGCCCTTCTGCCCTGGGCATCCACCGTATGCAATGAGTGACCTTCCTCCGAGCATCCAGACAGTACTGTACTGGCTATGTAGGAAGCACCTAGAGGAGTGCTCAAATAACTGTTGCATTTAAAATTCTAATTCTCATTCTCTCACGGAACCCCAGTTGAGAAAGACTGACCTCAATGATCTGCAAGGCTAAAGAATTTGACATTTAGAAGAGTAATAATATGAAAGAGGCATCTTCTATTCCTTAGCTCTGCTATTTAACTACACAATGTTGTCTATTTTTAAACACCAATGAGTGACATGCACTGTTTTGTTAACCTGTTTAAATGTTACAGGAGCTGCTCATAAGCTATAAAGTTCATATGCTACCCGATCCTACCCTTTGCTGTTCCAAGGCACTGACTAATAACCCCCTTATTACCTTCTTAATCAAGGAACATTTCCACACTGTCAGAGCAAGAAACACTGGCTCAAACCACTGCCCCTGAGGAGCAGACATTTTCACTGGGCTTGATTTACACACAGCTGAAATTCAGTCTCAGTTAAGACCTTTACAAGGAGAGAGAGGGAGAGGGAGTTGTGCCAAAGGCTCTCTGTACTCACCATAAGATCTTTGCGTGTTTGTATTTTCTGAGAAATAATGAACATTTTCTTCTCTCGTTCAATCCGCTGCATTAAGCAGTTATACTGCTTTTGCCTTTCTTTAGCTATCCGCTAGAGAAGAAACACATATATTTTAAGCAAAATAATTAACAGGCAAAAATTAACAAGAAACTGGCTCTTAGGTTACAAATGAAACCCAAATGCATAAATGGTTTTATAGACTCCCTTCCTTATTCTAGAATTAACACAATGTCATTACTATAAAGTTGGCAACTCTAGAAACATCAAATTCTATACCTGAAAGGAATCTTGCAGACTACCTTACTGAAACTTTTCATTTTACAAATGTAGAATGAGGTCTAGAGAAGAAAAATAACTGCCCAAAGGACATACAGCAGTCAGGACTGTCCTTGTTCCTCTAAACCAAGTATTTTCCCATTGCTATGCTATGCTAAGCTTTTTCAATCTCTGTGTGACCACCTCAATTACCTGAGATGATAGCAGCAATGTACTGGAAATCCTATACAAAGTGAGCAGGAGCAACAGAAAGGCCATTGGCCATGATGGCAAAAGGATTTTTTTTCACAGGAGCTGACCTGAGAATACTCTATGCTAATACCTCAGAGGCCACTGGTTCCTTCAGTTTGGGGGAATCATAAACCTCTGAGAAACTGATGAAACATTGGATTTTTCTTGAGATAGCATGGCAAGTTATATATCCCTTATCCAAAATGCTTGGGATCAGAGTGCTATGGATTTTGAATTTTGGGGGTTTTGGAATATTTGCATGTATATAACACATATCTTGGGCACGAGACCCAAGGTATCTGAAAGTAAAGTTTCCTATACAGCATGAAGATAATCTGGCACATTTTCAGTATACCTGAATTCTGACTGTGACCCATATGAAATCAAGTATGGAATTTTCCACTTGTGGCATCACGTCAGCACTCAAAAAGTTTCCAATTCTGGAGCATTTTAAGTTAAGAATGCTCAACCTGTTATACATATTTGCACAAAATTTCAATGTGGGAGGTGAGTGTTCATAGATCTCCTAAAGCCCATTCATGGATTGTTCACCCACTCCAAGTTCCAGACTTGCAATCCACCCACAAGCAATCTCATAACAAAATCTGAACAAAACAATACCAGACAAAAATGTCAAGATCTAAACCTTCATAACTTCTAAGAACTGTGATAGTGAACTATTGTTCACATGTGTTTGGAATACTAGTCTCTTTAAGAACTATCAGCACACTTGGGAAGTGTCAGCAACAGAGCTAATTGAAAATACAACTAATTGACAAACAGGGTTATCACAAGAACACTAGTCAGCTGGCTCCTCAGCTGGAAGTGTTATCTTCATAAAGAGGAATATTACTGGGCTCCAGACTTCCAACGACTCACCCATTCTAGCATAGTCTCACAGCAGTGGTTTCAGACAGCTTTTGTTTTCACTTTATTGCACAGACTGTCAAATTTATGGGATTACCCAATATAGTCAAACTAATTAGGGGTATTTATATTACTAAAGCAAGTTTAGCTGCCTCTGAGCGAGAGAAAACTGCTGTGAAATTAAACATTGGAAGCAAAACTGATGCAGTGTAAATGATTCAAATCAAAACAGAACAGCTGTCTGCTTGAAACACATTGACAGCATTTTTTTTTTTTTTTCAAATGAATCAGTCAGAAGTGAGAGTTCAACTCCAGAAGGCTTTGGGGAAAAGCGTATCTGCTTTACGACCTAGTTAAATAATAGAAAGTACCATAAAGAAAAGTCAACATAAAATTCTGATTACAAATACACAATATGAAGGACCTCCTAATATGTGTATGCACTGCTAAAGGTTCAGCATCAAACACTGGATACTACATACCTGAAGTGTCAATGCTCCCTCCTTAATCTGCATTTTAAAAATGTTGGTGACTGGTGGGCACTGGTGGCTCAGGCTTATAACTTAGCAACTCAAGAGGCTGAAATCTGAGCACCTCAGAAGCCAGCCCAGCCAGGAAAGTCTCTGAGAGTATTATCTCCAATTAAACACTAAAAAGCTATTAAGTAGGGCTGTGGTTCAAATGGTAGTGTTAGCCTTGAGCAAAAAAGTTCATAGACAGTGCCCAGGCCCTGAGTTCAAACCCCACGACCGGCACAAAACAAACACACACACACACACACACACACACAGAGCACAGCACAGAACACACACACACACACACAGCACAGAACACAGAGCACAGGATCAGGGTTGAATTCAAACCAAGAATCTAAGCTCCTAACCACTGACTAGGGTCACACGTTCTCCAGCCTTAGATTCTAAGGAACCCTTCCCCACTTTCACTTCAATCATCAAATCCTTCCACAATGCTAAGATAGTGACCAAGGAAAATAAAAAATAAAAACCAATAAAAGACTCAAGATTGTCCCAAACTCCCATCTGAGTAAAATGGGGAAAATTACCTTAAGTCGAGTCTCATGGGTAACTCCTTTCACTTTTTCCTTCTGCAAGGTCTCTATCCTGGGTCTATTAAATACTCTGTCGACTAGTTCCGGGGCTGTTTGCAGGTGAGTAGCAATATCAAACTGTGCAACTAAAATTCAAGACAATCCTTAAAAAATCATCCATCTCTAACACTGGACCACAATAGTAATATGGCAGGTTGTCCCAAAAGTCTTCAAACATTTCATACCTTCCTTTTTGGTATCAAAAAAGAACACATGCTTATTTTGTTGCTTCCCCTGGAAATCCAGCAGATGGAGCTCTGATTTTAGTCTTTCAATTTTCTAGAATACAGAATATGGCCTTTCTTTAAATTGGGTTCTTCTGCAATCTCAGATACAAACTTACAAAAGCTTAGAACATTTTACATTATATTATTACTGTTGTTATTATTATTATTGATAACTAATCAATAATTCATTTCACTCTTCAAAAGGAGAGAACCAAAATTTATCAAGCACCAACCAATTTATCATATACCAGGCTAGACTAATTCTACAGAACTCAATCTTTACAACAGTTGTATAAAATAGGAATGAACAAACAGCCTTAATTTACCTATAGCCTTGGCACTTACAAATGGCAGAGTCAGAACCTGTCTCATTTTTAAATCTGAACTCTACTCTCTATAAGTTTACTTCTAAATCTTATTACAATCAAGTACACTGTAGGCAGGCACTCTACCATGTAAGCCATACCCTTTACCCAATAAAGCATACTGTAAGACTGTAAATGCCAGAAGAAATCAATTGGTAACTTGAGATTAATGGATTTCTTTCCTTTCATACATCAGAACAAAGAGTTAATTGTTACCTTAGCTTCCGCGAGCCTTTTCATTTCTATGTACTTGACATCCTGTGTTCTCATCAGCTTGAGCTGTTCTGGAGTTACTTCTTCCTTAGTCTCCTTAATAATATGAACTCCATCCTAAAATCCAAATTTTAAAAATACATTCCCTATTAGAATATGATCATTAATATGTTATTGACATAGTTCATGTTTAGAAGAAATACAACTCAATGCTGCCTCAAGAACAGTAACTCAAGGCAATGGGCTTCTAAGATGTACGTCCACTGCATCCCCTCTAATCACCTACTCTCAGGAAACTACAAGTGTAAAACAACGTGCACACAGAAGCAGGAATGCATACTTTTCAAGAAGAGACAGTTCTGCCTTGGACAACAGCACCTGGACCAACTGCAAAAGAGCTAAATTTAAACCAAGGATCCTTCCTCCCATTGTTTCCCTCACCTTTATTTTCTTTTTCACTAGTCCTGGGGCTTGAACTCAGAGCCTGGGCACTGTCCTTAAACTTCTTTTTGTTCAAGGCTAGCACCCTACCACTTGAGCCACAGCATCATGTTAGCTTTTTCTATATATGTGGTACTGAGGAAGCAAACCCAGTGCTTCATGCATTCCAGGCAAGCACTCTACCACCAAGCCATATTCTCAGCCTCACCTTTATTTTCAAATACTTAAGGATCAAAACACCAATTCATTTATTTTGTACCCACCTGGAGCTTAACTCGAGTCATTTTATAATAGAATTCATCTGGATTTTTTTCAAGAGCCTTCTTTCGAAGAGCTTTGAGGAATTCTTGTTTTTTATGATAATCACTTAAAAAAAAACAACAGGTTAACATAAGGGATGGAAGGCAACAAAATACACACACATACACACACACACACTGAGAAGACTTTACAAGCATTTAAAAGCTGATATAAGCTGGGAATGGTGCAGCATTCAGAATTCTAAGGAGAATCAGAAGCTGGAGGCACCAGAATAGACTACACAGCAAAACTTTGACTTAAAAACAAAACAAAAACCCCTAAAAGTTCACACAAAAATGAAATCTATATTCCACTGAGTTAGGCTGGTGTCTCTGGAGGGTCCTTATCTTCTTTCCCAACCATATCTAGAATGAACTGTTCCTATTCCACATAAATCTTTGTGCCATTTCTATTACAATGGACACCAAAAGAAGCCCCAATTCTCCTTGGATGGGGTTCTGGTACAACTTTCGGCACCAGATATCCAGTATTATTGAGAAACTACATACTGTCAGAGCCAAATGACTGGAGTGGTGGATTCTGAAGCCACACTGTCAGGTTCAAATCCGAGTTCCTCATTCACTTCTAGCTGAGTAACTGTGGAGAAGTCAGTACACTCTGTTCTATATCCTAGTTGCACTGTAAAATTAGTATAATCAGTAACCTACCCCCCAGAAGGTTGTTGGAGAAATATAAAAAAAAAATGTAAATCTCTTAGAACACTGACACACCCAGTCATAATACATGCTTATTACTATTAGTTTCAAAAAACTAAAAAAAGAAAAAAGCCACACAACTCTGGAACCTACGCTAAAAGCATAAGAAGGGCCTCAGCTGAAACATAGAGCTAACACATATCTATAAGCCCTTTGCAAATAAAGTGCTAAAGGAAAAGGGGCATAACTGTTTTTTAAAATGTTTTCTAGGGGCTGGGAAGATGGCTCAGCGGTAGAGCGCTTGCCTTGCATGCCTGAGGCCCTGGGTTTGATTCCCCAGAACCACATAAGCAAAAAGAAAAAAAAGCCGGAAGTGGCGCTGTGGCTCAAGTGGTAGAGCACTAGCCTTGAGCTGAAGAGCTGAGGGACAGCGCCCAGGCCCAGAGTTCAGGCCCCA